AAAAATGATTCAAAATTTTTCTTATAAAATTATAAGTCCATAATGATGGAGGAAGATTCCTCGGTCCGCCCGCGACAAGGAAACAATCAGAACGGAACGTCCGAGTTCAGTTCAATTACTTTGCTTGTCGTCTCTCTGCAAGTTCGTCGAGTAGGGCTCTGGCAAACGGAGCGTGTGTCTCTGCCGCGTTCCATGGAGTCCCTCGAACTGGGGGACTTTTATCCAGATCTTCGAAAGTTTTCCTGTCGGAACGAGCCTGCGCGGTTCGGAAGGGAACTTTCCCCTCTCCGGATAGGTCGACGCACCCCCATACGTTTGCTCCTTGTCAGAGTCAGGATCTCATGTCTCAGTGTCAGAGACTTCTCTGTTTCATCCTGTCGTAGCCCCGACCTTGCTCGTTATCGCAGAATATCGGTTGTTCGCCACATTTTAAATCTCTTGCACTGGAATGCAGTAAATGTGATACGAATCGATTCTCATCATATTGTTCTGCTTTATTAATCAGCTCGAAGGCATGCCGCGACTCTCGGGAAAAGGAGAAAACAGCTGTCCCGCAAGGATCGACGACACGTGCCCACCATTGGGCGCATACGGGTTGGCGTGGGCGGATATTCCCTTCTGCTCTCTAATCATGAATCTAGACATGCTCGGGCGTTTCATTATTCTAGTCTGCAGATGCCGTTAATGATTCCGCCTTCTGTCCCCTACTTCCGGCTCTTTACATTCTCGCCTCTGAATCGCTGTTAGCTTTGCCCACCCGCCGTCTGCGCACTACCAACTTGATATTTTATCCTAATTCCGCTGTTCAAAGATTACGACTCTCGAATCTCCTCTAAACCCCTCCCGATCCTCGCGGAAACCCAAAAGCACGAGCGAGAGATTCCGCGGGAGGGAAACGGCCGGAACGAGTACTCTACCGCGAGACTTCTCCGACGGAGGGGAGAAAACTTCGCATCTCGTAGTCGCGTGCGTCTCACTTCCGTAGGAAAAGATGTAGCGAGCTTTGCGGATCTCGAGGCTTCATCTACCCTCGCCTCCCTGACCATCCACCATTGGTGTCGTGCTCTACTCTCTCCCTCTTCCGCAACGGATCCGTTTTCGCGGCTGGACGTTCATTTTCCTGGTTCGATCACTCGTCACGGAATCGATCGACACATGCAATTCGAGCACCGGCAGAGCAGCTGAAGGAGTCACACGAGCTCGACACAGGCAAAACATCCCGAGTCTGTATCCAAAGGGTTCCCTTGCGCGGCAACTCCCGATTTGAGCTCCGAGCGTTAGCAGACTGCTCTTGGTAACAACGCCGATGGTGGCGGTGGTAAGGTTGCCACCGCTGCCACGGCCATGCTCGCCCTTTCCCCTGTTCTCCCAGCACTGGGCTCGTAGAACGACTCTCCCTGGAGTGGAGAGGGTAGGGCCACCGTCAACGGCGGCGGCCGAGCGAGCCACCGAGCAGGCAAGCAGGCCTGCGCCGTCGAGGGCACGCACACACACCCTGGCACACTCGCACACAGCCTCACACACTCACAGATTCGGACCTACAGACGGAGAGACACCCAAGCAAGCGAGTGAGCTAGCAAGCAGCCAGGCAGGCAGACAAGCGAACGAGCGAGCGAGCGAGCGACGATCGAGTTGTGCCCACCACAAACTCTAGCCCAGGTCAGTGGGAGCTCAATGTTGGCCAGCTGGCCAGCTAGCCAGCGAACCCTTGTCCAGTCAGCTGTGCCGTCAGCAGAAGCAGCAGCCACGATATCCGAAGCAAAACACTGTGGCGTTCGCTCCCCAGTGGGCTGATCATCATTTCCGTCGTCGCCGTCGTCGTCGCCTGCGTTGCCGTCGTCGTCGGTATCCCTCCCCGGGAGTCGAAGCTACTGCCCCGTTCCCGGAACCATCGCGGTTCCAACCGCGAAGCAGTGACCCTCGAGTTCGGTTCCACGACTGCGGCAACACAGCTCCCAGCCATTTCAGAATAAGTCGCAACCGAAGAAGAGTACCTACCGTCAACAGCCGCCACAGCAACAACAACAAGAGCAGCAACACAACTACAATAATAGTGGTGGGAACGGTGCGCTCTCGAAACGAGGGACGGGGCTCGCTGGAGTTGTGACCCATCTCCAGAGCGGTGGCGGCCCCAAGTTCATCTCCCGTTGGATCAGGCACAGAGTTAATTCGCGCGCGAACCCGAGAGCGAGCGAGCGCCGTTTTGATATCGCCGTCGATATAATCGCTGATGAGAGAGCCATCGGACCAGCCGCGCGAAATGAAACCGTTCATCATCGATCCTCGACGTAAGCTCATCGTTCGGGGATTGTGAGACAAACCAACAATGCCAAACGGTAAGTTCCCCCACCTTCTTCGTCCTGAAGTTTCCGAATCTTGCCACTCGGAATGAATTCTGTCATCCCGGCTCCTCCTCCTTGATGTTTTGTTTTCGGGAAGAGAGTGGAATCTCGCTCGATTAGAGCTCCCATCGTCATCTCTATCGGGACGATTAGATCCTTCCATTCGTTTTTTATAAATATATCAAATTGAATTTCATTCGCTCGTCCCAACCGCTCACACCGCGCAGTTACTAGCGATCGAGGTCCTCTCCGCGACAGAACCCAACCGCCTTCTCTGTTTCCATGCCCCAGCTTCTCCTTCAGAGCCCCCATGTCTAACCTTTTGAAATCTGCTCCCCCGTCGGCCTCCGAAAATCTTCCCCCTCTATTCACTCGCCAGACTCCTCTTCCTCATCAACTCCCAGCTGCTGACACGGACGTTATCGTCCGATATTCTACCGGATCCCTCCTGAAGTTTCGGGGACGTTCCGAGTTAGAGAAATGGTATCATGGGTAGCAGCTTCGGCTCGATTCGACTCGGATCCCCATCGCGTTCGTTTCGCGGATGGATTTCCTTGCTTCGATTTGACCTCATCCAGGGGAAGACGAGGGCTGACGATGATACTGGATGCTCATCTCCATGCTTTCATGACGAGTCCGACTCTTGGCTTTCGTCAATATTTCGCTTCATTGTCTTTGTCGCTTCTCTTCGTCTGTCTATTCGTGTTCCGTACCATCAGGAAGCTTCCGTCACGAGAGCAGAACCTCATTTTCTCAATGCTCGATTCAAACCCGGGGCCCGGAAATCCTTGCAGGGAATTGCAGAGTCTTGCCGTTGTTGTTGCCACTTCCCTGGCCTGGCTCGAACCTCTCGTCGTAGGTTGTCGAATAACGTGCGTCGTCGATGGCACGGCCCCAAGGTACGTGAATTTGCATCTGCGAAGAAATACACACACGGAGACATTAGGAACGAAAAGCAATTCACCTGCCTCCGGCCATGATTCCGGCAGTTTCGTAGCCAGGAATTTTTACGATAGGGGCGGTCAATTTTTTTTTCGGGTGGGGGGGGGCTGGATTGGACTCCGTTTGCTCCTTGAATATGGGGGGAATGTGGGAGGAGGGGAGTTGATGAGAGGAGGGGGGCGGCGGAGATTCTCGACGTCCAGCCCCCGACAGTACCTCGTAACTCTCGAGGATCGCAGAGGGATTTGCGGTCATTGGTGAGAACCGGAGAGCCTTGCGGCGCTCATGCGATGCTGCTCCATCAGCGACGAAATCGGAGTCGCTCGGGAGCCCAATTTCAATATCCTCCCCATCCGCGATAGAGAACTCCTTCGGAACAGCGTTTAGAGCACCCCGAGGTCACCTATCCTCTAGACCAAACTGGCGAATCCCTCAACAACCTGCCTAGCATTGCTTCTACGCCGATCCCGCTGGAATCGTGGCTCGACAGCGATCCTCTGATTTTGATTGATAACAATCCGATTCGTCACAGAAGCGACACCGCATAGCACTAGATTCATGAGTGCAAAGACACAATAGCGAAACCCTCCGTTCGCCCGAATAGCCGCCGGAGGTTCCGCACTAAGGTCCCGGGGGGGAAGGGGATACATTCGCGATTTTGCATAAAGTTGAAGCACCACCCGGTGGGGAACTGATCGAAGCTGCATCGACGCTCCCGGAAAATGTGTCTGCGTTTGAGCAAAGCCGATGGAAATCGGTTGGATGCGGGTCAAGGCCACCGAGTCAACCGGCGAATCGACCAGTAGTCAGCTTGCTAGCCTCATAATTGCTATTCCTCCCGGCGTCCGTACAGATTGAGTCGGACACGCTTTTTGTGACGTTACGTTTTGCTTTCAGTGCCAAGTATCGTGGTTGGGATAGCTCCGTTGTCTCCTCCGGATCTCAGCGGCAGCGGCGGTGGCTGCGGCGGCGAGGAAGACAACAGTAATTCGGATGAGATCAGCTGCTGCGATGAGCAAGGAGGATGCGGCACGGGGAAGCCGCGCAGCTTACGCCGGACAAGGCTCAAGAGTCAGCGCAGTCTCAATGGCCAGAAATGTGAGCCGAGTAGTCAGGCCGAAACGACGCCTACGAAAAGCAGGAGCACCACCGTGAAGCACACACTCAAGGTCCTCGGGAGATCTCACGCAAGGTGGGTGGGAGCGGTAGAGCTCGAACGTTTCGCACGACTTTCAGTCGGATCGGGGAGAGCGTGGCACGGTTCCGCTCAATGAGAGGAGCCCTCCTTTTTCAAGGAACATTTATGTGTTATTCGAACAGCTGCACGGTTTCCCAACGCCTTTGCTTTTTTTTTCTCCTTCTCCTCTGCTCTCCCCGTCGTGGAGTTGCTAATTCGATTTCGCCCACATGCGGAGGAAAGGTCTAAGCGTTCAACTAGCAATGAGCGGAGGGGACCCTTTGACTGAGTCTCGACGTCTTTCTTGTGTTCCATATGTATGCAGAGATGAAACTTCGCCGCCGCCTGAAGATCCTCCGATACAAAAGCTGAGGGCCAGCAAAAGCGAAGACAATGCCTGCATTTCGTCGGCGTGTGCAGTTCCAGCTAAGACAACTCCGGCAATACACGTCATTGGGGTCGGGCCCTGTGACGGCGTTTGCTCTCCGCAAACTCCCCCGTCAGTCCATGTGATTGATTTTCAAACTCACGCTTTAGCCATGGCGGAATCCCTTCCGATAGTAGCGCAGTCCCCGACCCAAGACGGCAAGGAGCTTTTGGGGGTGGGCGCCCCTGCCGTGAACGTCATCTGTGCTTCACCCAATATGGTAGGCTCGATACCCTTATCTCGCGAATATCCCGTGTCGTCTTCCTATGTCGTGACATTTTTCTCCAAGTCTCCGATGGCTTCACATATCGCACTGCGAGCCGATTCGCGATCGAGAGCGTTGGTCTCCTTTCAGAGTGTGAGCAGCGCTCATCAGCGTCGCCACAAGTTTCATATGGGATACCTGTCGACGTGGTCTGGGGGATCTCAGGGATCGAGCTCGGTCGAATCTTCGTCGACCTGGCCTTTGTCGAGGGATTCGTCGACCGACACCGCGTCCTTCACAGACAGGTGAGACTTGAACGGACGACTTTCCCGCAACGTTGTTGTTATTACACTTATCGGCTTTGCGAGAAAATCGGCGATGCCGAACTTATATTCCATCCCTGATACTACCGGCTCGGAGGAGTATATCAACGGAATTTCAATTCTCGTTCCCAGCACCGGTGCCGACCTCGAAGCGTTTATAGTAGAAACTCTCCACAAGAATCAAAAGGAAAGGGGTATGATGTTCCGGCTAGAACAAGATCTCATCGCACTAATGAACGATTCGTCTCGAACTTCCCACAAGTTCCTGCCGATGACTTCCTACCACAGGATGATCGTACATCGCTGCGCAGCTTTCTTTGGTAAGTTCGTCGCGAAATTCTCCTCTTTACGGTGTTCCCGTATCGCCGGTGTTCGATCCGTCCAGGGTTCCGAGATCGACGAGAGCTGTAGACGCGTTCGGTGGGTGTGGAATACTCTGCCTCCTCTGATGAACAGTCGATCGTTGCAGGATTGGACCACAATGTGGATACAAGTGGACAGTCGGTTATTGTCTCGAAGACGAAGTTAAGCCGCATTCCTGAAAGACGTTTCCAAGAATACCTCAGGTGTGTTTCTCCTTGTAGAACGAGGAAGTTTTTCTCTCGGCAGTCTTCGGAAGTACGGAATCTAAGTGAACTCTGTTCGCGTAGTCCTTCCATTGATCTGTATTCTCCGAGAAGAGGAGGCTTCGGAGCCACTCGACAGTCGTCTTCCTGTCAGCCCAGTCATTGGACAAGGTTTGGATCATCAGCAGCAAGAGATAGATCCTGTAGTTGCACTTCGCTACTGACTGAGTCCAGAGTAGTTCAATTAATGCTTAAAAGTCTGAAGTACTGACGCTGCGCGTTCGTGAATTTCCCCACCGAGCACACCCAACTAACCCCTAACGCGAGGGTGCTCCAGATCTACTGCGTTCGCTGTCCCCCTCGCAAATAAAAGTCCCGATTCGTCTGGAGGATCGCTTGCGTGCCGCCAATACTGAGACCCGTCGATTTCCTCTCCTCAGCGATCCCGCGATGTTGACTGTCAAAAAATTGAACATTCTCAAAAGGGACAGCTCAAAGGACGACGACAAGGACAAGGCTTCCGCAAGGAGTTGGTTGACGAGTGGTTCTAAAGGATTCCAAGGCTTGGAAGGCCGGAGGTGTCGTTCAATGGAAGAGCGTGAGGAACATTATAATCTGATCAGGTGAGTGCCCGACCACATCGATGGACCTGTCCGAGAATCCTTGAGAAATCTTCTCTTAGTCACGCTGGACTGTTCTGGACTGTTTTCTATCGACTCGCAGGGAACGTATCTTCAAAGGAGGTTCTCTCGACGACCGAGCCACTTCAAGCGTCTCCCACCAGACGGTACGCGGCTCCGAAGTTACGATCGTTGGAACCCAAGAGCCTCTGACCGTTCCCATTGTGCTGATTCCTCAAGAACAACATCACGACCAGAACGAGTACGCCTATGCGACCAACGAAGTCGACGAGGTCGACGACGCGAACTCAACGAGTAATTATCGGCAGCATGGATCGCATGAGTCCGAGTCTACGAAAGAACAATCTCACACAACGGCTGACCGATCCAACTCGCGATCGCCAGCTAACACTTGTCAGGACGCTCAGGATACGGCGAATGAAGACAACAACCCGCTGTTCGCGGAAAATAGTCCAACGCAGAACGAGACGATCGCAGACAACGTCGAGTGCAGGAAGCGAAAACGCGAGGAACGCCGGATTTCTGCGGAAGTTGGTGAAGCACGGAGCAGGGCAGCCGCTCACGAGACGAGCAGCAGCCTCGACAGCAGCTGCAGCACCAATCTCCTCGAAAGTTACGAAGGCGACAACGATGGCGAAGAGCTCGACCATCACCAGACCGCGACGAATCTCGAACAGGACAGCACGATTAATTCTAGTCAAACCCCAGCAGCAGGAACAACTCCCGAGCGGATCAACGAATGCTCAGAAACGTCTAAATCATCTCCAGACTGCTCTGACCAATTGATTGTTTCTATGCAAGACATTTCTCTTGATGTGAGTGCATAATTTGAAGACCAACCGCCGCTCATATCTAGAAGGATTTCAATTTTCACTTTGCTTAGATTTCCCAAAAACATCGATAGCCGTAATCACAAGAGCCTTGCGTGATAATTTCAGGAAAAGACGCGGGACCCGTCGACGGACTGCCGACGCAAAGGCGTCCCGCATCATCAGCAAACGCAGTCACAGCAGCAATACCAGCAGAACAATTGTAGCAGCAGCGGCAGTAGTCAAATGCCTAAATTCCGTCAACAACACCATCAGCAAGCAGCTGGAGAGAGCAGCAAGAGCCATCAGGATCAGCACAACAAGCAGAGGATTGCGGCGGGGGGATACCATCGGCAGTACCCATCATCAGGAAATCGAAATGTTGCTGGAGGGTTCAACAACAATAACAGCCGTAGCTATCCCAATAACAATAATTTAAATACTGTGAACAGCAACAATCGAGACCGAGACGCACAACAGCAACAATCCTTCCGTACCGGAGACAACCATGCTCCAGAGTGGCGTGGCGCATCCGCAGACCAAAGAGCAGGAGGTTATCACCTCCGAGCCAAAGGACCACCCCTGATCAATCATCACCATCATTACAATCATCATCATCATCACCACCAACAGCAACAACATCATCTCCAACAGCAGCAGCAACAACAACAACAGCAGCCCCAAACTAATCATCATCACCAGCAGCAGCCACATCATCATCAGCAAGCGCCGCATCATTACCAACAACAGCAAGCCCTCAATCAGTACATCGCTGTGCAGCCGGCAATCACTCACGACGGGACTGGCGCAACCGAATGGATTTTCCCGGTTAGTCCCGCTCAATACGCTCAAGGGGGCCTCGGATCGTCCACATCCTACCAGAACCCACCGACCATGTACTACGTGCCGGCAACGCACGGCACCGCGACAATGTGGCCTCTACTTAGTCCGAGCGGTTCCGTACCCTCCTCGGGCCCTCCACAACAACAATTCCAGCAGCACCAGGTCAGACATCAACATCATCAACAACAACAGCATCATCATCATCATTCGCAACAGCAGCAGCCGCAGCAACAGCTACAGCAACAACAGCAGCAGATCCATCCGCATGCGATATGTGCATCGACAGGTGCGGAGATGGCTCCGATTATCGGGCCTCTGCTCACAACTCACGGTTCTCCTCTCACGTTGGCTGGTGGCTCACTCATTCAGACTGGAGGCATTGGGCAACTCATTCCGGCAGCAGCTGCGATCAACGGAGCGATGCTTCCGTCACCCCCACCTCCGCCGGCCACTCATCCAGCTGCCGCTGCAGCGGCGGCGGCCGCCGCGGCAGCCGCTCAACAGTCGTCAGTGAGAGCGGCTACTGTTTCTGGTCAGTGTCTCCTGCCCACCCCCTCGCCCACCAGCAGCAGCACTGGTGTGCCCAGTGGCCAGCACGCACACCACCCCTCAGTACCTGCCAGCAGCCAGTCTATTGTGATCGCTCCTCCTAATTCCGTCTGGCCGCAGCCGGTTGCGCCTCCGATTTATTGCTGCACGATTCGTCCCACAACCACCGGCCAGTATTATACTTTGTCCTACCAGGCCCCTAGTCAACCTCAGCCAGCGCCAACGATAGCGTCTCCGCGTCAACTTCAGCCTGCGTTCCCCTTCGTCAACTCCGGATACGGTGAGCTGAGGCGTTCGTGCTCGGCGAACGGGCGTTTCCCTCGATTTCGAGCTCCAGGCCCCGTCCAATTAAACCTCGGGCTCTAATTGACGATGTTTCTCCGATCGTTGCAGGAGTGCTGTCGATGAACGCAGCAGGTCCCGGAGGTCCGGTTCATTTCAGTCCATCCCTACATGCGGCGACGCAATTGAACTCGTCTAGCATTGGCAACCTGTAAAAACCAATGACTCATCGTTTGTGTCATGTTCTTGCATTCATCTGCCGCATTTTTTCTTCGGCAAAGTCATTTTCATCTTCACGTTCGAGCTCATCTTCATACCAGCATCGTGGCAAACATCGAGAATGAAAGAAACCGAACGAGAGGAACAATGAGCGAAAGGAAGAATTATTGTACGCGAGTGGAAGTCTCCCGAGAGAACTCGGATGGTGGAACAGCTTCCGCGGGCGACCAAACCCAGCGGGGCCACTGTATGAATGATTCTTGTACCGACGAGGATTCTGATTCTATAAGTGAAAATACAGGCTATGATAGAAACCGAAAATGACGGTAGGGCGGCGACGACGGCGTTGATTCGGAAACTTAGAGAAATCGCATGGGGGCTCTATGCAAGCAGCAGCTACAACGGTTGAGGTGGAAAACTGCAGCGTGGAATCGAAAGGTACGAGTTTGGTTTGGTTCGTCTTCCGACTTGAACAGCCATGTTTTTGTTCCCGAGCTCGGAAAGGAAAGTTCAAGAAACCGAGAAGATGAAAGCTAGCATGCGATCTAGAGAACAGACAGAAAGCCAGAACGCCAGCCAGTGAGTTCGCCGGGCGGAACGTTATTTCTCTCCGAAAACGATTGTAGATTTCGTTAGTCAGTAATATTTAGCAAATTTCTTGTTGGCTTGTTTCATTTGACTTTCCGTTACACTGTTTCGGCTGATAACAATAAGTCCAAATTTACAGCCAGCACTGTAAGCGTCTCGTCCTAAATAAAGTCTAGTCCTTGTTGAATTCAGTCCGAGAGTGTTCTTTCCTCATCGCAACTCCAGGCCGGCTCTCGAGAGCTCGAAAAATCCCGGCGGAAAGTTCCAGCATACGCTTGACCTCGTAGACAGAATACGTTCCGGCGTCGGAGCAACGGCTCGAAAACTCCTCGCAATGATTTATCGCTCGGAGCGGCTCCGAAGAGGGATGATAAATGAAACGAAACCTTCGAGGAATCATCGTGCAAGCTTTATTCCCGATCGAAAGAAATGTACAGTCATTGTTTCTTGACATCCAGTCATGCCCTGACAGCACAAACACACGCATTTGCCCAGATACCGTCGCCGGACGATTTCCTCATAGGACGAGAAGAATATATGTAAATGCTTGAGTTGAGACCATCAGATTTTGCAGTCCCTAGAGGCAGTTGGAGGCGCTCGCTTGCGTACATACATAAATAAGAAATAAGTATCCTTCTGCTGCATTCGCATATGAACTTCATCGGCGCGACGCCGGCGCGGAGACTCTGACCGTCACGTGAAATCTGAGCTCCACTCGTCTCGCCAATCAAAGGAGATGAACTTTCTGATTGAAAGCTTACGACTTACGATATACCATCACCGCGACCGAGCAGGAGGAGCGCGCTTATGCCTGCCGGAATGCCGCGATCAGACACGTGACGATGAGCGCGATAGATGCGAGGGTCGAAGACGAAGCGCATCTCATGCCTTCGGGTTGGACAGAGTATACCGCAGAGACGGGCGATTCGCAGAACGGCGCTGAAACCAATCGGATTATCAGAAAGTTCCGAAAGATAATACCCATAATCAATAACCGATTTTGCTGCATTGAGGATTTAAGGTGGGTTCCGCGGGATTCGCACCACTGATCCAACGTACGATGCAAGTGCGGTTCGTAATAAGGCGAAAAGGCACTTCACGCGAGCTTACCTCTGCAATTCTGAGTTGGTCTGGAAGTGGAGTCGAGCCCGACGACTGCGTAGCGCAGCGCAGCGCAACTCCTGGGTCCGTCGTAACAGCGTCTCGTGTAATTGTAGGTGATGGACCTCACTGGAAAGATATTGTACAACTCGAATTTTAGAGAACCTTCGGAGCCAAAAGCTGAAACTTCTCGCCGGAAGAGGAATGCCTCCCTCTATGATACGAGATCTGGCACGAGCTCGCACCATAGATCTTGAATCGGGGATAGATATAGTAATAAGAATGAGCGATTTTATGAGTCCGGGTCTAAGTCAAGACTTCTAGCCGAGGCTTACGGGAGCTACTTGTTTGGAAGCAGAATCGATTTGGGTCGTAGTTGTTGTTGATGTTGTTACTATTGACGTTGTTGTTATTGTTGACGTTATTCGGGTTACTCAATCCTTGACCGGGATTTGCGTACTCATAATCGGCTGACAGGTCGCAAACCTTGATGTTCCCGGCGGAAGCAGTCTTGAACTGAGGGATTTTCCGAGAAACCGAATCAGAAACCGTTGACTCGTCAATCCATGAGGCAACTTACACCGCGAATTCGCATCGGAAAGCATTTTGTTCGATTGTCCGGAATGAGCTCCCACCTGAACAGTGAACTGGTCACTCCCGGAGAAGTAGTGCGAATCGTAGGACACAAATTGCACACGACGAGGGTTCACTCCGGATGAAAACTCGCGGTTCGTACCTCCAGTACGGAACCTATTATTATTATTATTGTTGTTGTTGTTTCCGTTGTTGACATTGTTGAAATTGTTGTTGTAGCCACATTCTACGTTCTGTAGGTTTATCGGTGTCTCACAAATGGCTCGCTTGATTTGCTCGAAGTGAGAATCCATTGGATCTCTTCGGCTCTGGAATTAAAGCGTTCGATGAGCATCGGAATTCTGGCGGATGTAGCAGCTCGAGTACTGAATATTCTGAAACCTCGTCTCCCGATCATGAAGTTGCCTCTGAATATTGTCTTACCGAGCGCAGTTCTGAATCCAGAGCCGACTCGTCGAAGTACGGGAGTCCACCCGAACGATCATTGATTTGTTTGAGCGAGGCCTCGTCACCGATTCCTATGATCTTCACTTCGGGATGGGCTATCCTTAAGCTGATCAATGCATCTCCCGCGGCGGCTGCGTCCTCTATGGGCTGGCCCGACATCCGGAAGTACAGAACCACCTGATCCGAATAGGAGAAAATCAGTTCTCCGGAACGAAACTTGTCCACTTGCCGAGTTTCGTTGTACAAGAACTCTCACCCGTCCGGCCGACGCGGGCTCTTTGCTCAAGGGTTTCGAGCTGCTTTTCAAGTCGTTGAGGGTTCTGTTGAGTGCGATGAAGAGCTCCCGTTCGCTGCGACCATCTGGAAGTCGAGCATATAAGAAGAGCTGAGAAACTGATTCTCGAATCTGGAATTTCTATCGCTCCTGATAATGATAACAGCACGAATTCTCGGGCGTAGGTTTCCCCCTCACCGAAATTCGGTTCCATGTGATGCGCGAGACAAGCTGGGCAGCCTGATGCCGTGAAGCCGAACGTATCGTTTTGTTTCTGACTCTGGAAACTGAAACTGGAAAATAACTTGAAAATTGATTTCTTTAAAGGAAAGTACGTACGCGCGAGCATTGCTTTGGTGCTGCGTCATCGAGTCTGAGATGAAGGGCTTGCGGCGGCAAGGATCACGTGATTTTCATTTGGGAGGAACGTACTTCTCCGGATATTTGCGGAGCCCGTTCCCGCTGTAGCCGGAGTAGACGTGCACCGTATTCCGCCTCTCACGGAAATCCATTCCGTTTACAATTCGACTGAAAGATTATCAGAGCAGCGGATCAGTCTCGGTATCATGATCTGAATCGTGTGGGGAATACCTGCATCGATTTCTGCGCTCTTATGTCGAAGTTCGAGTTGTACCCCAATATGTTAGCCTGACGTCTCCTGACGTCCACGACTTGGCTGCTAGCATCGAGTATCACGTGCAGGTCAGCTTGGCCGGAGCATTGCTCTAAGTTGTTCCTCGGACATAATTCCGGCTTGTATTCTAGAATGGAGTTTTCGCATCAGCTCAGGTGGAACCATTCCGCTAAACGCGCGACTAAGTCGTTCTTTTCCGAAACGGATGGAACAAAAATGGGCTATAGAATAGTGCATATGTGCGCCAGGGCGCACATATGCACATTTCTTTTGGCGGATCTGGCGATCGAGATTCTCGCTCCACAACGGTGGACCCCGAGGAATCCTGAGCGGCCGAGACAACGAGCAAAGTTTGTAGAGTTGGATCATGCCCACAATTCGTCGCCGAACCGCGATGTCTCTAGAGCCATGAAGGTACGATACGTCGAGGCAGGATTCACACCGAGCGTAGTGGGGTTTAATCAGCAAGAGAGTCAGATCGTCGGATTGAGACCCTGGTTGCGTCTTTCGAACTTTGGGGGGAACTAACCTGGGGACAGATCCGCCTCGATTCTTCCGATGACTCTCGATACGTATGAACTCGTCTGGCCGCCGTAATCAGCGAGCGCATCCTTGCCCACCAGGTGCTCCGCAACCAGCAGAGCTTGTTGCGCTATCGCCGTGCTGTCGAGTGTTCCGTACAAGGAGGCACGATTGCAGACGCTCGCGACTGGAGGAGATGACCAGTGGTAGAACGCAGCTTAAAACCTTCATCTGCTCAACCCACGCGAGGCTCAAGGTACGTGGTATCTCGACATCAATCATCCCTGGTGACTCACACTGAGCGTCGGCTTTCACGAAGTTGTTCGAGTAATAGAGGCGGAGAAGTTCGGCCAGGGTCAATCCATCGAAGTTCTGCTTGTTCAGCAGCGAACCGAGTATAGCACCTGCAGAAGACCCTTGCTCAATGGAATTTCTTCCCGATGGAGGAATCCCGTGGATACTGGATCCAACAAAGAGATAATGAGTCGTGGAACTGACCGTCGATTGCACCACTCATCTGAGCTCGGCTGAAGGCCACGCTCTGTTTTGTATTCAAGTAATACGCGAGGAGACATCCAGGGAATTCCCAATTTCCGGTGACGTCGTACTCGTATTTGTTCGCGTAGCTCGAGCCACGCTCCAAATCCTCCGCCAAGCTATAGTAGGCTGCCATGCCGATCTCAGGAGAAAAATCAACGTGAGTCCCCTCGTGCATTCATACGATCCATTCGAAATCGAAAGTGTGCGAGCTCGCTGTAATTATGTAGGAACTCACTTCTTGGCCCAAGGTTGCGAGATACAGAGGATTCGCTTCGATATTGGATCCTCCTTGATCGTCGAAGCTGCTGGAACGAAAACGGTGGTTTCGAATATCGCTCACTGAAATTATCCCTGAAGTGTCGGTTTTTTTTCAGTATTCAAAATAATGATCTCTCGTTGCGCTGCGTGAGAATATCTCTTGGAGGTCTTCCGTTGGCGTCAAGCACTTTCACGTACTTATCGCTCGGGTTCCACTGATCTCGTCCGCTGTACTGCATTTTCGATGCGGCGATGCCCATGAGCACCGGTCCGATCGCGACCGCGTCCTCGCGGAGTCCTGTGATACTGACAACTCCTTCCTCTTTGAGAGCGCAGTTTTGCTTGTTGTTCCGCGAGAAGGAAAGCAGATGAGCTTGAGAATTGCGCAAGTTCGGCACGGCCGCTTGACGGTTCGGCATTTGAGGGTTGTAGTTGTTATTATTATTATTATTGTTATTGTAGTTGTTGTTGTTGTTATTGTAAGTGTTGAAATTGTTGTTCGAGTTCCGGTTCGCGTTGAAGCCTCCCAGAGGGGAGCCTCTTTGACGCTGGTTATTCAGACTGGAAGATAAAACCTACATCAGACGAGTCCTTATCGATCGCTGATCGATTTCATCTCATTACTCCTGATGCCTCCGGTATTTGTGACAATTCGCAATGCGAATCACTCGGGGCGACGCACTTCGACTGGAACCTCTGCTGCTGCTGCTGGGCCGAATCCTGCTGATTGTTGCCGAAGGGGTCTTCTTGGCCATTCTGGCCGAGGGGTAGTCTTCCATTTGAAGTGTTGTTTTGTGGGCAAACATCCTCGTACGTGTGACTTAGAGCCCGTAGCAGAAAGCATTGGTCATCCAGGTCGTCATTCTCCAGGTTCTGGAGCAGAATTCTCATAGAGCTCAGAGATCCACAAGCTTTAGGTCATTGTTCCGTACCGAATATCGATATCTTAATACCGAAAACCGCTGTGAATGGGCGGGAAGAGTGGTACCCACATTGTCGAGATCCCAATTGGAGACGCGCGAGAACTCATTGTTGAATACTCGTCTCACGAGTTCGTAGCGCATTCGAGCGATATACGGCTGCTCGGGTCGTTTGTCTCTCAGAACGAAGTCGGGCAACGCAAACCTGAAATCGACTCGAAATCATTATTTGGTCGGCGTACATCTCTTGTTGATGAGCGAATTCGGCGGGATCACCCACCAATGTAGGAGAGCCAACGCGGAGTCACGAGCAGCTATCCCGGGTTTCATGAATTTTCTCTCCCAGCGTTCGACAGTGCTGATGAAAGAATGCATCGTCATCCCGGTGGGGATCACCTGACCCGCCACTCGTTTCAGGTCTTGACCCATTTGTTGATTCATAAATTCTGGCTGGCATCGCCTGAAGCGATTGTTGAACGACGATTCGCTGGCCAAGGGTTCTACTCGATGCTGTGATAGGATCCCGAGCAGGGCGAACCCCAGCAGAAGCTCCGCCCTCATTTTTCCGCTGAAAAGTCATGGAAAAAGGCTCTGAAGATATGATATCGAGTCGAGATGACGAGAGATCGATCACCACTCGTGTATAAGGAACTCTGACAGCCTCGAGAAGGATCAATCGAATTTCTAGACACGGACATATGACTGATAGAACAATATTTGGTATTGTGAGTCACATTTTCCGGCGCGGATGAATCATCTCGGTGACTCAACCCGCAAGGCATCCCTGCCGTGAAGGATTTTGTTCAGCCGATTCCCAAAATCACCCTTTTCAGAATTCTGCGATGGAGTATATCCTAATGGAGAAGTTCATGCCCCCATATCAAGAACGTAGTCTTCCAGACGTGGAGCGGTCGACTCCAATATTGGAACGAGAACCTTCTGAGTTACATTATGGAATGCGTCATTGAACGCGTGCGGAAGACGGAAGATAATCCATGGATATTCTTGGGCGAGATCATCCGAGGCCCAGAGATTCTGTGAGCACAACGTTCCCGACCCCAAACGCCTCGATTTCCGATCTTTGCGCGCCCGAGGAGCATTGGGGACAGCACCGACTAGCATGAGAGGGGATAAGTCACAAATGAGGGAAGAATTCACTGAACAATCGCTCAAACGACGACGGAGCTTCTGATTTCTATCGAGTTGTTCTTGCCCCTCCTCACCTAGTTATCCGACTTTAGGAATGAGCGACCCCTTATTGAGGCTCACGGTCCGAATATTCATGATTTTCTGAATCGTATTCGTCTTCCTCAGATCACACAAAATCGAGGAGCACTCTCGGCCGCTCCCGACGACCACAAACGGGATTGTTTCCACGACCGACCACGGCAGTCGCCTCAAGCAGTCTCACGTGAATCTCTTTGTCTTATTGGTAGAACTTGGTACGGAGCATCGCACCTAGAAGCATCTCCCATCCAAAAACCTCAACTTTCGTTTTTTCTTGATTTTCTCGAGAACGAAAGCTCTAGAGCGAATTCTCGGAAGACCGTCCCGCCTATTCCGAAAGTTGAAGCCGGTACGGAAGGCACAGGGGAGCACCGAAATCACTTTGAGCCCCTCGGGATAGCTTGACACCTCGGGTCGGGCGCACCACATTCATCTTGTTGAGTCTTGGATCACAAAACAGAAACTCACCGATGCTTAGAACTTATTCCCGGAGCTCAAGGAACCACCTAGACACGATCCGCAGCCGAAAACGATCTATAAGTCCACTGACTCGTGCTCTTGGCTAGCCGAAATGATGTCCTAGGCTTTCGAACGCCCCTTCAAGAAACAATGGATTCCTCTTATCGTGCGGCGAGTTTACGTCGTTTACGATTGGGCGTTGGTCTCCAGGCTAAAGGAGATGCTCTCTTCGGAAGGTAACGTCAACTATAGCAGCTTTACGCGGACGTCAGCGTCGGCCTAGAAGAATGCTCGTTCTGGGAGAGGCTCGAGCCGGCTCGATCATTCACACGGTATTCAATTGTCACCACAAGGATGACATCCCGTCCTCCAGGTATCCACAACCTCAGAGGGGGGCCGAGTAAGATCGAAGTGAGGCTCGGAGTGGAAGCTCGCACGAAAACGGAACGCTCTACGGGGAGCTTCTGTCGGGACGAACGCTAAATCCGACTTCTCTTCTCACCTGTAGTAAGACTAAGCACGTTCGGCTTACGAAGCCGTATGTTATTTGATGACTATGGCGTCGATGGGACTTTGAACTCCATTCTTGTTGGGTCAGCTCGGGATGGAAGCAAACGGGAGACGCGCTAGCTCGGGAGACCTGCGTTCACTTTCCGTCCTTCCCTCTAGCTTCACGAGCGGCGACCCCGAAAGGACCTACAATCATTTCTGCATTTTCAGGGAAGATAACTCCACGGCCATCGGAGTTTCGGGGTCGTTTATCCAATATCTCTCTTCGCTGCACGGAAACGTTCGTTTTCTCAAAGACTTGCTCGGGGAGCGCGGACTATTCGGTGGGACACGGTTCCGGTTTGGAGTTGCTCATTCGGACCCAGATAAGTTTTCAGAGGCCAGTCTGCCAGCCGCACTCGACGAGTCGGTAGGACCTCAGCTCGGCGAACGTTGACAGAGCTCGCTGAGATCGCCGAATCCAATCGTGTCGAGTATCCGCCGAGAGAATGCACCGTGAGAGATCGAAATAGACCCCTGTTGGAGCAAGCTACCGGAACTCTTGAGAATGTCAGGGATTCATTTTGCTTACCGCACGGAGATGTTCATTCGGAGATCCCATATGTGCGAGCTTGGGTTTCCAATCTCACTGGGAGCTCTGGGGTGGAATTCCGCGAGTGAGGGACGTATCATATGAGCAACCTATCCATTGAAGCTTTTGGGACAGAACTTCCCTTCAAACATGGAATCTATGAGAGGCCTGAGGTTCCTCATACGCGGGACATCAGATTGTGGGACACATGGAATTCGAGCTGGCTCTGCGTCAGTCATCTCTACCAGCCGTAATTCCTGAAACAGATTTCCGAATAGAGACAAACAATCTCACCAGCCTCGTTTGAATTCCAATGCTGACTCCGAGAAGAAAGGAAATATTATAAACAATCGTTCAGTCGAATAACGCGGTTTTTGCACATTCAGTGGATTCGGGGTGAAGAAAGTTGTATTTTGCCGGAACCTTCTGCGCGGGCAAGGCGTATCGTTAACGAACTTAACCAGATCCGAAACCCAGACAGCGCCTGCTAATTAGTTTCTTTTTCTCTCTTCCATGCCCAGTCTGCTCCGCAAGTCGGACATAGACTGATTATAATTGGCCAGAATTAAACTGCTCGCTTATATGCGCATTGCCTCAGGATTGAGGAACCTTGCTCGGCGCTGCGCTGACGGTTGCCTGACTTGTCGTCCCGTTCATTGTACTGTTCCCATCATTGTCGAACGGTCAGTTGGTGGAGGAAACGAAATCGGAACTCTCGAGCAGAAAGGCAAGAATTGGGAGCCACTTGAGCGTATACTTCTAATGCCGATTTATGTTGAGAAAAAATCGGCTAAAAACACGCACAAAGGAGGTCCCCTGTTCTAACAATGCAAGCGCTGAATGGAAGCAGAAAACGCTCGTGCATGATTTTTTGTTCTCAATTCGGTATCCGGCTGCAAATAAACGCAGCTTTCTGCTTTCTCATTCCGGTGGATCTTGTGTCTCACGCAGCGGGCTTCACGTCCGATCTATCGAGCAGCACATCGATAGCAGTGATTCCTATCGGCAGGCTCTGAGGCCATTCGTTTCCGGTTTCCCTAGAAGAACCACATGACTCTCGAGCTCCGAGAGCGAGCATACAATGCCGTCCGAGAGCTCCGAAGAGGTGCTCCCGATGTCGAGGTATCTTCCGAATCGTACTCCAAGGGAGACGAGAGCTATCCTTGCGTGCTGACTGTCTTCCACAAACTTTGAAGCTGAAACGAATTTGACAGGAACGAGGAGAAATCGGGGAACAACCGCAAGTTCCAATGTTGCTTTTTATGAAAAAAGCCTCCTGATTTGCGAGATATCCACCTTGAACTTTCCAATCGGAGAAGCTCTAGCGAACGGTTCCAGGCCCGCGACGATTCTCGCCCCGTTCCTCGAGGTTCGCGGACTCCCCCATAGTAAGTATTCATAGGTCTCGCGCAGGTCATTCCGATATTCTGGATGTATTTTTTTCTGTCGCGACACAAGCATTTTCATGCATGATTTTTCTCCCCTTCCGATTCCGAACATGCGGAACGACGAACAACAGGAAAACGATAACTAGCTCGATATCAGTTTCCCGGCTCGCGAGAAGCAGCAAGTCGCGTGAAAATGTTGATAGAGGCGTTTCGGTTTTTCAACATTGCCTCGTCCGAGAGTGATCCGAGAGTCTTATCGGGTCCCAGAAGAAACTGTGTATGCTGGGAGCAGCAGCAATCTCATGCTCCGGGCGACGCAGCTCGCACCGAATCTCAGCTTCAGGCTCGCGGCCTCGCGGATTTCTCTGGAGTTCAGAGGTTTACCGCTTGTTCGCGATCGATGTTCGGAAATCCCGCCAACTTCTTCGGAAACTTAGACGAAATTCTGATCATGGATGTTCCGCCGTTTCCGGCTTGTGCTCACTGCAAGAGCCGATCGCCTGGAGAATCAAGATCTCAATGATAGCTCACTGTCACCTCGAGATCTGGTGATCAAGCTAGCGCCGGAAAGTCGGGGGAAGGGCAAATGGGAATATCGGAAACCATTTTCCGCCAACAAGTCTGTTAGGGTTGATTCGTTGTCTCAATTCCATCTCATCTGAAGCGTCTCGTCAGTCACGCCAGATCCATCGGTAAAGAAGATTCTGGTTATCGGGTCCACATCTATTCATTGGGATTGTTCAACGAGCGAATTGTGCAGGACTCGCAGGTCGCTCATCATTGTCCAAGGACGACACCGCTGAATTTCTCACCTTCATTTCCCTCACGATGCTATCTGAATACAGGTGGCTGGAAAATATGTCAACAGAGAACCGTTTTGCAACCCGTATGCGATTTCGTGAGAAACGGTCTATTCTGTAATCGTAATTCCTGAGACGATTTTCCACTATATGCGATCTTATTCTCCGCGTATTTAAGTCACGACATTTTGATTCATTCGAGCGGCGATGACAGATAAATCCTAAATTCAAACGGTTTGTATTCTCTCAGCTGAGCACCTTGCTTAGCTTCCACTCCCGTTCTTGCCCCACGGAACCCTTGCCTCCAGCTCTTACCGGCTTTCTTTCCGAACACCGACCAAGACGTGTGCCATGGCAGTCAAATATGTGCCAGACGTGAACGTGTTTATAGTTTGTCAGAATTAAGGTTATCCATCGCTCCGATCAAGGATCTCGGCGGGAACTGAATTCGTGCCGGAGCCTCTGACGATTCCCTCCCTGCGATTTGTGACTATGTCTACCTGTTCTTCAGAACTTTGTTTCCAGTGATTAAGGTCGAAAACTTGAGATAAGTCTTGATCGTGCCGTAATTCATCGCTGAGCAACTTGCCTCCATTCTCGAAGAGGGTGGGTACCTGATTACATCTCTATCACGGTTTCGGAGACGATAGCTCTCCCTAGGTGTGTCTAAATCTAAAGGAGCGAGGTTATGCTGGTCGAATAGCGGCTGTGCGGATGAACTGCGGAGTGCAGAGCCTTCTGGGAACGAGCACGCATATAGAGAACATATTTCCGCAATGGAAACAAAGTCTCGATTATTTTCCGAATGATTCGCATCGTCGGGACCCGGGCTTGAGTTGCGATCGCTTGGGTTGATGGCAGGTATTCATCTATTATGTTTTCCCGGGTTCGGATGTTGGGTGCAGAGGCCGCTGGAGTTATCCGTCATCTGAACCCGCATTGTAGAGAAATTTCGTACACAGAGAAATCATGAGGGATCTTAATCCCCCTCGGAGAGCGTTCATGCGGCTATCGAGTGGTGAGTCATAATCTCGGAGGGTCGGATTCCGAATACCGGACATCGGAAGCGTCGCGGAACTGTTCGAACAAGCGCGTTGTTCTCGATCTTTGAGACTTGAGATTGCTCCCGCTCCATAGCTGACGCTTACTCGATGCAGTTCCCCATCGCATATCGCGCGCGACATCCTAAACGAGAGGTTGTACTGTATAACATGCTAAGGACGAACCGTATCAGAATTCTCGCTCGAGCTGACGATTGTCTCCTAATATGTCGGTCGATGTTCCGCAGACCTCAGGGTCGAAAAATTTCGCCTCAAGCTCGAACATTCACTCGACTGAAACGTTTTTGCTTGCACAAGCGTGCTCGTTGTCGCGAGCTTATACTGTAATAGGCAACTGAATCTCCGGGGGTCGCTCAGGTATGCCGAATTGACCAAAGTGGTCTGATTCCCACGGAATCTCGACTACGTGGATGGCTGCATCCTTTTCCCCCGCCAGAATTCATGTGTCTTGATTTCCGATACGTGCTCGATGGCTTAATCCCCATCGCGATGAATGAGGAAGAGGGGTGACTTGGCTAAAGAGACGAGAGAGATGCAGCAATATAGTTCCCCATCAGATTTTCGGATTCACTGCTTCCTGCTCGTTTTCTTCAGATCGGAAAAAGCCACCGTATTCGCGACGGAGTTGTCATTCCCCGTTCTGTCTCATCCTTGTTCAATGGACAGACCATTCATTCAAAAATATCTCATTCGATTACCTCAGATGAGTATCGATCAGTCCGACTGTCTCCCATTGATCTAATGGCTCCTCGGGCAGCATGTCCATGGCATCCGTGGGGGAGTAAAGCTTCGTGAGCGACATGATTCGGTTTGCTTTCGAACGTTTCCCATCTACCGTTACGACTCACTCGACATCGTTCGGGTAACGGTTGAATGAAACGGGTAAGCGATAGCTCAACTGTCCGCGAACCAGATCGTTTCGGCGTTGAAGATGCTTGGACGGAGCGGTCGCGGGACGCCTCCCGCAAGAAAACATATCCGACCAAGCTGAAAACAAACTTTCGAATGGATGGGTCTCGGAAATGACAAGATTTCATCATTTCATCTTCCTTTCGTAAATTACGGTACCTAAACGCTCTCAGATGTCCAGCGTGAGAAACAGGCCGGCGTGAAACAC